ATCGCGGCGCCTAGTCTCGCTAACTCGCTGTTGCCGGATCGCCGAGTTTGCAAGCCGCAAAGGCAGCGAGGGAATTCGTTCTCGCAGTTTTTTGTTGTTGTCACAAACGTAAGGCGCTGTTTAATAATATATAATGGTGTTAAAAAGAATAATAATGTACAATCCTTTGTTAATCCACTGCTGGATTTGAAGGCCTCCCCATGCCGTGTTCGTCAGGAGGGTTATTTAGGCCATACTTCACCGTGCTGCTCAGTATAGGAGTAAAATAAACTCGTGAGCAGGTTATCAGATAAATTGTTGCATCCTCAGGATTGCGTGAGTGATGACGATAATGCCGATGGCTTGGGGACACCTTCGTTCGGCAGTGGGACCCCGCTCCTGGCTGATTGTGACGGTGATAATGATCAAAATGCTTTGTCTGCTGCCGATGACCAGTTGTGCGTCTAATGCTCGGGGCTGACTGAAGCAGAACCCAAGAGATATCCGATGCGCGATCGCGCCGGGGGAGATTATGTTGACGGCACGTCGCGGCTCTCGCTTTGTCGATTCGTTCTAACGGGCGTTTGGGAGCGAGCGAGAGTTTTTGACCAGCACCGGCCGCGTTTTTTTATTTTAAACGTTTTTATTTCACAAGCTCTGCTGCGAAATGTCATCGCGACGGCGTCCGAGAACGCCGACTCATCGCGCATCGCGCTAAAACATTAACCCCTAAAAGGAGACACGCACGATGCGCGTGGAGTGGAGGCGCTGAATGGAGATGGAGCGATTGGTGTGCTTTTAGTTTTTTTTTTCCTTAAGATGTTGCCGGAGAGCGATTGCCGTCGGTGACCGTGGGCATCGAGGTGAGAGCAGGACAGAGCAAATATATACGGCACAATTTACCGTGCTACTTGTATTTATGTAGCGTCTTAATGTAGCTGCGTCTAAATATGCAGTTACGGTCGTCGTCGGCTGTGGGGAAGAGGAAAGTCTTGAGCCTGGACCAGAAGAGGGGGCAGGGAATCGACAGCACGGGCGGCTGTGTGGAAGGGAGTTTCAGACTGGAGGCAACAGAGGTGAATGAGCAACATCCCGCTGAGCGAAGGTTGAACAGGGGCTTCGACAGAAAGATTTGGTGGCTGGAGCCAGCGGAGCGTAGAGGGTTGTAGTGGGATGAGGGGGGGAGACAAAGGAGAGTGGAGGGGAGTAGAGTGAGATGAGAGGGTATAGGTGGTATAATGCGTGCAGGGGAAGTAGTGAGATGAGAGGGTAGAGGTGGGAGAATGCATGCATGGGAGTGGAGTGAGATGAGAGAGGGTAGAGGTGGGAGTGTGTGCAGGGGAGTGAAGTGAGATGAGAGGGCAGAGGTGGGAGAATGTGTGCAGGGGAGTGGAGCGAGGTGGGAGAGTGCACAGGGGAGTGGGGCGAGATGAGAGCAGGGGCTAATGCGGGGAGCGTGAGCGGTGATTCGCAGAGGAATGGGGGGAGCGGGCTTTACCCCAGAGAGCTTTCTGGCTGAGGCTAGGCGCTGACAAGCACGGCGTGCGCTAACGACCAGGCCCATGACTGCCCTCCCAGCTATAGTATTCGTACGGAAGGTTTTTTTGTTGTTTTGGTTCTGCCGAGTTCACCAAAGGTAAACGGCGATACGCTGCACGTTTCGGTGTGAAGGCGCCCGTGGCATGTTCGTAATTTCTGCATTGAGCCTTTGGATTATAGACTGCGCACGCATGTGTACGCATCCATTTGTTGTACAATTTAACACTGCGGTGGAGCGGCGGCGCAGTGGTTAGCGCGCCGCGCTGTGAACACCGAGATTGACTGAGCTACGGCAAACTTCAGTCGCAAGTGGAACCGGTCCTGGTTGCTGCCTCCTTCACCAACCGGCACTTATCGGCATGGTGAAGTATGGTCACGCAACGCTAATGGCCGACACGGGAGCGGTGAGGCCTTCGTTCTCCGCAATTGGTTAACCAAAGGGGTTGTGAATTATGATAATGAAATTTCGATTTAAAGCTTTCGTGACTGCAGGGATTCATCTTCTTGGTTCTTTCGGTAAAGTCACGTAGAAGGAAAATAATAAAATAATAAAAATAAAACATAATAAAATAATTCTCACGACGTTTCGGCCACAACGCAAGCAGCCATCCTCAGGTGGAGAACAGACTCTGCCTTCTCGACAGACCTGTTCTCCACCTGAAGACGGCTGCTTGCGTTGTGGCCGAAACGTCGTAAGAATTATTTTATTATGTTTTATTTTTATAATTTTCCTTCTACGTGACTTTACCAAAAGAACCAAGAAGATAATGAAATTGTATAACTCCACACAGAATAACCGTATTTGTACGTTTTGACTGCTGGAATTTTATGCCATGTGTGCCCTGCGGAAGAAATTTGGTTGCGAACTTAGGAAATCCGTCCAGAAGTAAGTCGTCGCAGACGGAGGGTAAAACCTGGCTTCGTAACACAGCGGGGGGCTGCGGTGGAATTACACACGGACTCAAATCTGAATCCATATCTCCTCCTCTTGGGTAGGAAGTAATTTGATGAACTCTAGAGAGCTTGAACCCCCCCCCCCCCCACCTAGGAGTGAGGGAATGAGGAGGGAGGAGGGGTGGTGGTGGAGAGCGTTCGCACACGCAAAAAAAAACCTTGTGAAACATCTACTATTTCAACGGCGGCGGCGTTGTAGATGCCGAGGCTCTCAACGTGTTTGCGAGGTGCTCACAAAGGCCCCTTGCATTTTGGATTTCTAGGGATGCGACGCGGGCTTTAAGTTTTTTGTTATATTATTATTTTTCCCCTCCCCATTTCTTTACCGTGGAGCTGTAAGTCAAAACAAACAAAAACTGCTTGTGATGGTCATACGGGTCTGGAATTTGTGAAAAAAAATTGGTTGGGGGAGGGAGTTGGTGGACAGAGAGAGAAAGAAAGAGAGGGGGAGGGAAAAAAAAGGTGTTCCTAAAATGTGTCAATTGCAACAATGAAAAGGGTTGGGGAGGGTTCTTGTGGCAGCAGGGATTGAGTTTCTGTCAAATATTCTCGCCAAGTATGTAAACATTTCCAGGCAAAGTTGAAGCTCCGAAGAAGTTTTTTTTTTGCCATCGGTCACCAAAAAAAAAAAACTACCGGAGTCCCCCCGCGCAGTTCTCAGTTCTTCCGAGACGACGCAAAAAACCAAACGATTGGAAAGCAAAGGAAGTTCCCCCCCAATCCTCTCTTAATATTTTAAGGATTTCTCGAGCTGGTACGTGCACAGTCCCCCCCCCCCCCCATCTGGGTAACTAAACACACGGCACTCCTTTTGCGCTAAGCCGGTTTTGCACAGAGTCGATTTGTTCGATTTTCGCAGGCACCCGTTTAAATTTCTCCAGGGAGTTGGCAAACGCATACCATCTGCTGCAGAGTGCATATGAAATACCCCCGTGACATATTCTTTTGCATACGATCAAACCGCCCTGAATGCGTCCAAGCTCCATCACATCTCCGAAGCTAAGTGGGGTTGAGCCTGGTGAGCAATTGGACGGGCGACTGTCTGGGAATATCACAGGTTTTTATTTATTGGATTGAGCCCCAGGAGATGTGGGAATACAGTACTGGAATGTTGAGTCTACCCGTGCGGAGCTTTGCGCGTGTCCCCCCCTCATCGTACGCGGTGGGTTTTCTCCGAGTTCTCCGATATCCTCTCTCAAGCCCCAAACACTCATTAGATGCAGTTGATCAAAAACGTCCTGATGCCAGGAGCACCCTCCTGAAATATAAAAGAAAAACGGCATTGCTGTTGCTGGGTAAAACATAAGGCATTATTATTTATTATAAGTGGAATGAATCGATCCACTTGTAATGTGTACCATTTTTGAAGCTGTACAGTCGACCCCAAAAAAAGTGTTCTCCCTTGGTGTCCATGCTGCAGTCCACTGGTCACTTGGTTAATCTGAACAATTATCACTTCCCTTTCAGGTCACGGAATCTAGTTTTTTTTTAGTGCCTGCCCCTGCCACCTTCCATGCTGGGATTGAGAGACTGTTAGATTCACTGCATCGAATCTCCCAGCCAATGTCAACGCCAAGTGGCGAATTTTTTTCTACTTTGCCGTATAAGTTGGTGTGGGCTTTATTTTCCCATGCATTTCATTTCCAGTCACACTAATCGGCCGTTAACCCCGTTTTGTAAATGACCTACTGTACTGTTATTATTGTTTTATCGTTGCGCGGCACGTCCATAATTTTTCGACCGGCCAAGAAATCAAACGCCGGTCGAAGAGGCTTTATACGGCTAAGCTGCTTGTGTTGGAACGCTGCCCACGCTCGCATAGTAAATCATAAATAAATGAGCGTTTGCGTTTTTGTTGGCAAGACGTCTCGCCATTAGTTTGAACAGTAGAGTGTACGCCCTCCTTTTGTGTGGCTTAATAAATAAATAAGTACAAAAAGTTACTTAATTTGCTGCTTTTAAGAAGAAGGGAAAAAAACGCATTGCTTCCCATCCTCCACCTCCCAGCTATACTGCACTTGTGCCCACCGGTCATCTGATGAGACGAAAACAAATTAGGTGTGAAAATTCTTGCAGCTAGCAGTGCATCACCCTGTGCCCGGCGAACAGGCTATTAGAAGATAGCTCCATTAAAATAACCTCTCTTAATTCCCTTCAGCAGGCCTCGATCTATGGCCTCTGTTACACGCCCTGCAGATTGCGGTGCTTGCATCCCAATACAAAGCAGCAGTTGAAATGGTACTGGATTATGCGGGAAAATTAATCGAAATATCTTACTTAACATGATGAATTTCTTTTTGTGTGTGTGTCGTAGTCGTCGGGACAACGTCATCTCGCTTACAATCTCGTGCTCGGTCTCTGCTTTTGTGTCGACGGCCGCCCTGGTCCCATTCTCGATCGCCTTTTTTCTCAGCACCGTCGGCGTCTGGCACCGAGGCTGCTTTATAATATCGACTCTCTTCTTCTGCAATCCCTTTTGTGTTTCTTAATGCCATGCATTCTGTGGCCCCTTGTGTGTGTTTTTGCAGGAGGTCGCTCGTGATTCTTCTCTCAAGCTCTCGTTGTCATCAGGCACGGTAAGAAAACAAAACACGCCCCCCCCCTCCTCTTGTGCGTCCGTTGACTTGGCTTGTTCGGTCGACGTCTTTGCGGAAGACCGGCGCACGAACACGCGTGGTTGACGAACGTGAGTTTTGTGAATTGTGCTCTAAACGCAGGGGTCAGTCTGTGAGCTCAAGTGTCCCCTGATTGCGAACCATAGCTGCGCGAGGTGCGTTTGTCAGCGGGCGTACCTGTTTTCTTATTCCCCGCGCCTTGCCCCCTTAGGGTTGTTCCGATAACACTCCCCCCCCCCCGTTCTCCGCTTCACGCTGGCCTCTAATATTCAAAGTCATTCAATTTCTCCCAATGGCTCTGATTAGTTTGTGAATAGCAACAGAATTGTGTAAATATAATTGTTGCAATCACCGTTTTCGCGCTGTGGGCGGCTAAGAAGGTTTGGCAGTGGAACATCGGTGAAGGTCATCCCATCGGCCAAAACTTTAGGCTTTATTTTTATGGGGCTCAACCTTCATACCCGCTTTGATGTTGAACATTGCTACGTTGAGATATAATTCCACGAGTCTGAGGCTGCATAGTTTCAAAATCCCTTCCTTGACTTCATAGCCACTGCTTCGGTGATGTATGACTAATCCGGGGCTTTGAGGGCGAGGGTTGATGCATTGCGTAGATTTGTGAAATCCCAAACCCACTAATAAATCTGCAAGGTGGCCAGAAGATGGCAGCGGAGCAAGCGGGGTTGCAAACCCATCCGCCGGGATGTTTTGCGTGCAGTCTGCTCGTAGGCTTTTCTCTGCATACTCCGGATTCCTCCCACAAAGTGATTGTTCGAAACCAAGTTGGTCGAACATCACAATGCGGGATCTGCCAGAAAAACTGTCCGAATAAATAAATGAAATTTGTATTATTGTCGCCAATGACCAAACCCAACCCAGAATGCTCCCGCTGTCCTGAAGCTAAGCAGGCTTTGGGCCTGGATAGCTCTTGGATGGGTGACCACCGCCACACGATTGTCGTAGGCGGTCGCGGGGCGGCACATGACAGCGCGGCAAGCTCCGTTGTTGTACTGTACTGTGCTGCCACATCTACGCTGCCCACCTTCAAGCAGCACTGAAGTACGGTCGAAAGTCCCCACAATGTACGCAACGTGGAGAAGGCCCTCGTCGTCCCGCAGAATATTGAACAAAAAGGGCTGTACGTGCGAAATATTATTATCCAGTATTGTATATCGTTCAAAACGTCGTTAATGTTAACAGCAGCCTTTACTATTCCTTTATTACTTCTGCAGTGGATATTGCCTCTTGACCTGTTGCCTCGGAGCCTCCGAGCAATAAGAGACTCTGTAAATTCCGAGCGAGAATCGATCCGCGTGGGCACGGCGGGGTGGGGTGGGGGGGGGCGATGAAAAGCGCACGGCTCTTTAATGCTCGGTCGGAAATCTAAAAGGGATAAATAAGGTCAGCGCGACTCGTTAGCGTTCGTCGAAAGCGAGAGACTCCGCTTACAAAAGGGCCCTGATTTGTACGAGCGAGCGAGCGCGAGCAGGGGGGGTGGGGGCTGTTTAATTCACAAGCGGACTCGCGCGGAGCGGCGTTGCTGTGATGGACTTGTGTCTTGATGCGCCGCACCTCCGCCCCATGTCATTTGCTCTTCGCCTGATTTGATTTATTGCTTTCGAAAAGCGCCCCCCCCCCTCGCCCCCGTTCGGAATGTTCGTCAAGCCGACGAGGTAATGAATAAATTACGGTCGTAAAAAAAAAGCTAACTAGATTGCTCCGTCGAACTTTAACCATTGCTGCCATCGCAGTTTTCTTCTTGAATGGCGCGTGTGGCATTTGGGAATGAGCTCTCCTGACGACAAATTAGGGACACTGGCATTCCACTTGATGAGTGACATCAGAATATTTATACTGGAGGAATCCAATGAGGTACGAAACTCTTTTTCAAAGATGTCCAGTAAATAACATGTCATGTAGATAATAAGTTCTAATTTTAGATTTGACGTTTTCGTGACTGTAAGGGTCCATACTCTTCGTTTTTTTTTCTGTAAAGTCACATAGGTAAAAAAATTAATTAAAATAAATTAAATCACGACGTTTCGGAGGCAACACAAGCTTCCGTCTTCAGGTTACTGTATCAAGTGAGTAATTTTGCTGTGACGGTTCCACCTGAAGACGGAAGCTTGTGTTGCCTCCGAAACGTCGTGATTTAATTTATTTTTCTTTTCTTTTTTACCTACGTGACTTTACCGAAAAAAACAAAGAGTATGTGCTAATTTGTCACGCGCACAATTTTCACTTTCTCGAAGGTAGCGGACCCTGAGATCATAGTCTTCACCATTATCAGCCATGATCTGTCCAATGCTGGATAAGGCCGTTGCCCACCCTCTCGCGTTCTCGTGATGCCGGTAATCGAGATGAAGAAAGGAGTGGCAGCCCAGCGCGGGCGCCTGCCACGCTAGGGGATTGAGCGGTGAAATGAGCTCACGTGCTGGAGCAAGACCGGATTGTTGCGTGGCAAGATCTGCGAGATGGCGACGGCTTTGGGGGGGGGGGGGGGGGAGGCCTTCATCAAGCGGTGGATAGATCATGGCTGATGGTGAATCATTATGATAAGGCCGCTGCTGTGGTATGTGGGCGATTTCTACCACCCCTGCACTCATCCTCGATCCAGCTTACCCAGCCCTTTTTGCACGGTGTGCGCACGCACGCCCAGAGATGCGCTTGCTCACAAACTCGGATGCGCGCGTGCACACACGCGCACCAGCGAGCTGCCGCATTCCGAATTCAGCCCGCGCGCTCCCTTCGGCTGCCCCCTCTCTCCTGTTTATCGACTCGCTGCAGCCCGCCGCAATTTCATGACCAAACAGTGAGGACCGGTGGCTGTTTGCTGTCGCTGTCCCGGACGCCCATCCCCAGTGGAGGACCCCACACAACCTCTTAAATTTCTCATTTTCCCCTCCTTATCCCTCTGCCGATCGCTCTGCAGCTCGATCTCTCTACTTATCTCCCCTTCCTTCCCCTAGTACCTTCTCCCCGTTTTATCCTTCTTACTTTCCGTCTCGCCCGTCGCGCGTTCTATGCCCCTTTTCGTCATCTCCGCTCGAGCAGGCGTCGCGTTAACTTGCTGTCCACCACCTCGTTTGACAGATGGTCTGGTGTTGTTGTTTGAAAACGTTGTTTGCTTCAGTCCCCCTGCCACCAGTCCAGGTTCGAGAATTGCACCATCTCTTCTGCATGTCCCGACAGTGGCTACGAAAGGTCTGCATAGCCGCTTCTCTACCCTAATGTAGTTACAATCCCATCTCTTTTCTGCAAACAATTGTATAAAAATAAGAAAATCAATTTCTATATGGGCATGACCCCCCCCCGCTGTGGTCACATGTGCTGCATGTTGAGATGTGGTCACGGTCAGATGCTGTAGTCAAGTCCAAATTGTATTATATTGTAAAACCCTTCCGCTGTGGACTAGATCAATCGAAATTCACCTTATCTGATCAGATCTCGCAAGCTAAGCAGGCCCGAGCCAGGGTGGTGTTTGGATGACCAAGGTGCATTTAACGAGTATGGGGAAGCTGCCTTGGCAGCAGAGGGCAGTACAGAAAAGTACATTGTTGCACTGTATTGTGCTCCTCACCTCTGCTGCCAACCCGCACTGATCAGCATTGAGAAGTAGGGTCAAACGACTCCCACAGCACGCAAGACATCTGGAGGCTGTCATGCAGCAAGGGATTGACAAAAATGGCTGTACGTGTACGAAACATCCCTTCAACGTACCTCCAATCCCCGCCGCTAGTGTCTTATCAAGGCCCCTCCTCTCAGTCATAGTCTGCCCTTGTCTTTGTCTCTCCAAAGCTCTGTTTCTCCCATGCTCTCTGCCCTCATCTCTCTGTCTCTCCCATATTCTGTCTCCCCACGCTGTCTGCCCATGTCTGTCTCTCCCGTGCTCTGCACGTATCTTTATATCTCTTTCATGCTCTCTGCTCATGTCTCTCTCGCTATTCCCCCATGCTCTCTGCTCGTGTTTCTGTCCCCTCCCATGCTCCCTGCCCTCGTCTGTCTCTTGCATGCCCTGCGCCGCCCTAGAGTGTCTATCTCTCTCCCATGCTGTCATGCACGCAGAATGCGAATGCTCCTTCGCATATGTGACCGCTCCCTTTTAGTTCACCTTCTATATTAATGCTTTCCCCCCCCTCCCTGTGTTTACTCGAGCGCTCATAAATCTCGTCGTGACAAGTGGCATCCCACGCCAGCGCTGAAGAATGCGTGTTGAATCAATTATTCTGCTCTCCGCTCCGGCCCAATATTTTTTTTTAGAGCTAATCTGGAGAGAGAGAGAGAAAAAACGGTTCCGCCAGTCACACATTTCGTGGAAATCAAGAAAGGTATGCAAAATCCCAGCCGGGTGCCGAAATACACATGAATCATCTGTTTAATAGGCCCATTAAAGTGTCTGGGGGGGGGGAGGGAGGGGGAGTGTATAAAAATGTTCGTAATGCAGGTTTTCATATTTGGGTTTTTAAAGAAACTGATTGGCTCATAAAACAAACTATATAAAAGGTATCGCCTAATTGTACGTCCAAGAGATAATGCACGCAAGCAGCCGGGGGGAGACACTCGCCTCGGTGGAACAGATCGCGCCCCTGGACCCCGACATCACGAGGTCTCCGGTTCGATTCGACCCCCTGGTGCAGCCCGTCGTTTAAAGTAAATGGGCAGGTTTCATAACTCCCCCCCCCTCCCCGCTGTCCATCGGCAGTATAATTAAGTTCACCACTACTGCAGCTAGTCTTATCAGGTTGTTGTTCGCGTGTGGTGGGGTAAAGTGTGGGTACTCCCACCTATTCCAAAATGTCTGGCCAGCGTCGAGGGGGTAGCTTCATTATCTTCTAGAGATGCACTGGAGAGTTTCCGCCGATTGGAGGTCCCCGTCCGCCAGCAGTGGCGTGAGTGAGCGGTTTCAGGGCCGCTCCTCTAACCGTTTTTTTTACGCAATTGCTTCAGGCGATCGGACGCGC